AGGATCTCAGTGTTTGGGGCAGATTGTACAGGAGAATGTGATCCTGTAGGTAACCTCGGCCCAAACCATGTAGGGATTTAAAGGTCAAAACCAACACTATACTTTTCCTGGAAACGAATTGGCAGTCAGTGGAGTGACTTTAGTAAAGGTGTAATATGCTCACTTCTAGATGTAACTAGTGTGGCTAATTGAAGTTTCTGAACTTTGCATATACGTAGCCCAATGTACAGTGCATTGCAGAAGTCCAATCTTGAGGCTACCAAAGTGTGCACTACTATCTTTAGGTCCTCTGATTCTAGAAAGGGACATGGCTAGAATATCAGCCAAAGCTGGTTGTAAGCACACCTGACAGTTGCATCTACCTGAGCTGACATTTGGAGAGATTGATTTAGGACCACTCCCAAGCTAAAACACAGTCTTTCAGGAGGAATATAACTCTGTACTGAATTGGTTGACCTATCTCTGGCCCTAGATTAGGCTGCTTAATGGCAAGCACCTCTTTCTTATCTGGATTCAGTTTCAATTTTTTTCTTCATCCAACCTATTACCTCCTCCAGGCATTAAGTCAGAGGAGACACACTATTCATAGCTAAAGCTGTTTTTGAAGGTATAGATAGACATATTTGGGTTTTATTGACAAAAAGTTGTCTCAAACTGGTTCCAGATTTAGCAGTATCTGTGGTCATGTAGACCTGCTAAATCACTTCTGCTTATATAAGAAATGAGGTACAAATTATTGATCCAAGGAATCAACTTTAGTTCAGACTCATAACTGGATCTCCCATCTTTTCATATCGATTAAGAACAGCAACTATAAATTACTCTCCTCTCCCATGTTGTTTTTGCCTAAAGGGGACAACATTTATGTAAGGATTCTGACATATGTGTAACACTATTTCTCTGATTCCTTGTTAAGGAATAATATTTTGGCATAATAAACAATAATCCTTAGTAACAATCAACATATTATTAGGGAAGTTTAATAAAGCAATTGAATTTCAGAACAATTCTATTTCCATGATTACTCAGTCTAGCTGTGCAGTTGCATGGACTAGGGAGATGTTAAAATAATGATTTATGGAATCTATTGTGCATATTTAAAGAGTTTTATTGTGTGTTTTTTGGGTAGAAGATCTGAACAATATTTTTTGGCATCTATATTTTCCTGAAACCTTTCAGCACATCCTGTGACAGATTTATGGTAAAGATAAGAAGCCCAATTAATTAATCACATACTCTAGGAGTCTGGTGTTATTTAAAGTATGGCATATGGACTTTATAATGTACATAGAACAGAAGGAAAGTCAAGTCAGTTATGGAGTAGTTGTGACAACCAGCTGGAACACACCATAGCCTGTAGACATGATAAATAGAAATAAATTGGTTGAGGAAAAGTTATGTGTGTCTGTGTATAATGTAGTATATAAGATCTAATTGGAGTGTCAGTGTGGTGTAGCAGTTTGAGAGACAGGCTAGGGACATCATTACATGAAGGTCCTTAAGCTGGGGGATGAGGAAAACCATCTTTAAGCCTGCCCCATCACATGGGGGAAACCATTGCTGTCCAACTGCCCCCCCCCCCCGCTGCCCCCCAGCTTAGTTAATGAAAGCACAGGTAGCCACCTGTGTTCTTAGGGCTCTGTCCTAAAACACTGCTAGTACAGCGCCTGGATGGAGCCACAATGGAAGTAGCCTTGCATCATGTGATGGGCCTCCATCCTTGCAGAATCCTAGAATGAGGTAAAAACCTCATGTAATGAGGTCATAGGACTCTTGTTTGGCTATGGAAATCCACATGGAAATACTCCCTTATCTTCAGAGAAGGGCAGTTGCAAAATTCCCTCTGAATAATCTACAAGCTGGCTCTGAATTCAAGCCTCTGCCCTTAAGATTTCCAAAGTCTTTTCATTCATTCATTGGGGGAGTATGAGACAGTTCAGAGTTACATCAATCTACTTGTGAAAAGGGGTACACTACACAGTGGAAAATCGGAGACATCAGATATTAAGATTTGCCTTTTCTATTAGTAATTGGTGATAGTTTTAATGCATTTTATATGACTAACACATAATGATTTGTTTGTTTGTATGGATACTCCTGACCTTACTTGCCCAAATAAACCCCCTCCCCCTGAACCCCATGTTCCTTATAATGTAGTATTGAAAGAAATGGATGAGTCAAACTGTCATATTTCTATACAGGCAGTCCTCGAGTTGCAAGCATCCAAGTTATAAATATCTTATAATTTATAACAGACGCGAGATAAATCTACCCCTGGAAAGATAAATTCACTCTTGAAAGAGTTATCATGGGGAAAAGGTGTTTCAATTGAAGCTTTCTCACTCACCCTTGTTTCCACAACAAGTCAATTTTTTCAAGGGATAAAAAGTGAGTTGACATCTTTCGAATAGGGGAATAGACAGCAAAACAAAAACCACAGGGGTGTTAACTTTCCTGATGTTGTCCAAATGTGTGCATGGCTGGAGTTACACTTTAAAATGTATCTGTTCCAACTTACATACAAATTCAACTTAAAAACAAACTATCAACCACATACAACCTCATAATACTGGGTAATATTGGTGGCATATACCAATTCCCCTCTATTTGTGCCACGGAGCCTACTGGCTCCAATCCCATGATGCAGAGCTACTTCCAGCGGGACTCCATTGGCCAAATGGAGAGGAAACGGCACATGGTCCAGTATGATCACTTGTGTGGAATTCTGTACTAGTCAATTTATCTTTGATATTTATGCTTTGTCATTTAGGCATGCACTCCTTTTCTTCCTGATCTATTCTTTTTGAATAGATTATATCCTACAATTGCTTATATCTTACAATTGTTATATCTTTTTGAATATATAATATTGCTATATTCCAGTCATGGAATTTTGCCCATCAAGTTTCTGTTAAAGCTATAAAGTTTATCTTCCTGCCTCAGGTCTTCAAGCTCATCATGTTGTTAATCCACATTCTGTGATTTGTGTCTAAACATCTAAAGTGCTTCTCTGTGGCTGCCCCGTGACTCTGGATCTTCTTACCCAGGGAAGCCAGAATGGCCCTTTCACTGCTGTCCTTCCAGTGGCAGGCTAAAACCTTTTTATTTGCACAGGTTTTTAAAGATGAAGGTGGTTAAGATCTAGCCAGGGGGTGCTGTGGTGTTTAACTTTGAATATATTTTAATGGATTTTAACTGTGATTTTTTTTAGTGCTGTTTGTGTTTAATTCTGTTTTAATGTTGTATTTTTCCATATTTTAAATTGTATACTAATGCTTTTATGAAAAGTTGTTTTGAGTCTCCTTTGGGGAGATAAAGCAGAATGTAAATAAATAAATAAATAAATAAATAATAATAATAATAATAATAATAATAATAAGTTAGCCAGTCATTCACCTGCAGTATCCTCCTATCCTTGTGTGGTCCTCTCTCACTGGTAGAATGAGTGAGAATAACACCCATACCTATAAAGTCTTCACTTTCTTTACCAGGGCTTCAAAGGACATGGTAATCTGCTCATAGTTGTCTTTGCAGTGTTGTTGGGGCCCACATGAATCAGAAGATAGGGGTACTGGTCTGTGATCTTGATGAGCTTTAGCCTCTTGTCAGCAAAATCCTGGATATGAGCACCAGGAAGATGGCACACCCCCCAATTCATCATGTATACAGTTCCCTCTAGAATTCTGAATTATGTCCCTGCTATCAGAAGAATCTTTTTTCCATCTTGCTGCAGTTGATGGTTAGTTGGCTCCTTCACTGGCTTCCGGTGTCTCTTGCTGTTTGCACCTCTTCAAATTGTTATCCTCAGGAAGATGTAGGAAGTAATTGCTTAGTTGGAGCAGCTCCAAATATTTTGTATATTATCTGTTCCCAATGGTGTCTATTCTCCAGCATGCTCCCTCAGTGTTACAAGCCTCTCTGTTTTCATTGGCAGTTGTCTCATTTTGGTTCGGTAGTGTCAATTCTCCCTCTGTTCTCTCCAGGAAGTCCTCGTGTTTTCTGATGTGTTGAAGAGTCTCAACATGTAGCTGTAGTAGACTGACCTTCTCTTCTAAGACAGCCACTGATTTGCTCTTGCTATAAGTGTACTCAGTGAGGTTTTCTAGAAAGAAGGCAAACATTGCACACATATTACAACAGGCAATGACAGATCCTTCTGCCTACATACCTACCCTTACTTTTTCACACCTTTCAGACTAGAACAACTCTTATATAATATGACTGTGACACATGCCCCTGTCCCTTAGAGGATCAACTCAAAGGATTGAGAAAACAGTAATATAGAGTTACAGCCTCATCACATGGCTGCTAAAAGGTTCACCTCACTTTGCTTTGCCATAGGGCATGGGGAATCCACCATCCCTTGACCCAGATTGCCTGCCTCCTGCAGATGCTGATCCCATGGGGATGCGTGGAGTGCGCGTCTTCTCCCCATTAAAGTAAATGGCAACATGGGAAGCCTTTTTTTACCCATGGAGCCGGCCAGCATGCCGCTGATTTTAGCCCAGTGTGACGGGGTTGTTAGTGGCCTCGAGCTCCACCTCCAAGCAAGTCAGTCAAAGCCCAGCCCGCTCAGCCCAATCTCATTGGCTTTTTTAGCTGCAGCATCACATTTTTGGCTAATATTCAACTTTAATTAGATGCTACATCTTCTAAATCTTCTCTGCACCTGCTCATTTTTCCTTCTTTCTTCTTATTTTTCTTTTTTTTTATGTACGTTCTGAAGACTAGTTCCACTCCAGTGCACTCAGATAACTTTATGTCTTTCTAGTGTAATTATTATGACCATTAAGAAAAATTAACAATGAATGCTTGTTTTATGTGTGGTTAGAATTTTACTCTTTTGGGAGATGGAATCTCCTGTCACAGCAACAGCAGCTCTCTTTCAGTCTGAAGACTTGATAATGCCATATATATTTTAATCCTCTTCTCTTTTCCAGGGGAATGGTGTGATGTCATACTAGTCTCCTCCCACAGTGTAAACTAAACTCCTGTCAAAGTTTTGCTGCCTCTGTGACAGAGAGAACGGTTCACTTTGCTGCAGCTGCATTACCTTGTATGACACCCCTCAGCATCTTGAACTGTGCAAGTTTGGATTTGAAAGCATGATGTCAAGGCTGGTCTTTCTACTTTTCTGTGGAAATATTGCACTACTTCTTGGAAATGCTCAGAAATTGCCAAGAGGCAAGTAGAAGTGATATTTTAATACTTTTTTTGTGGGGCTGGATGCTTGATCTTACTGAGACATCCTTGCTTGCAGCATGTATGAACTGATTTGCCTAGGCTGGGAGAGATGTAAGGAGAGGAAAGGAACACAAATGAGAGAATTAATTTAAAACTATTTCTCTAAACAAATTAAAGGATTAGAATCTTTTTTTGTTGTTACAATAATAAAATTAGGTAATTTATGCAGCAAGTAAATGAAATCTGGTGTTACTGTTTTCTTGAGCATATATGCTGATGAGATGTGTTTCCATTAGAAAATGTGATTGAAGTGCTTTTTAAAAAATTGTTCTTAACTTCAGTTGATATCTATGCTTGTATGACTGTAAGAAATAAAAAGTTCACAGAGACTCCTCTTCTCTACAGTCTGAAAGAATATTTGCAAACTCGGAAGTACCTTCTTTTTCTGTCTTACCTCCTTCCAACTGATTTGTGTTAATGCAAAACAAACAGCTGCAATGTAAAATTAATACCATATTGCTAAATCTAGATTAAGCGGTACTTTGTGGTACCTTGGCATTGAAGTGGTGCTTCACAACTATTTGTGTACTTTCTGTAGCTTTTTAAAGCACACAGTGTACTTTCTATATGCACATTATGTGTGCAAGCAGACAAGAGAAGCAGTGATTTTCGTTAAATGTTCAACTGCTTAGATGAATGCTAAAGCAGGCTGGATCTACACTACCATATAATTCAGATTATCAAAGCAGATAATCCACATTGTGTTATTTGAACTGGATTATATGAGTCCACACTGCCATATAATCCAGTTCAAAGCAGATAATTTGTTTTTTTAATATGGCAGTATAGAAGGGGCCTCAGAGAACAACATCCTTGAACATGTCTGTGTGACATAGCTAAGATCACAGAGATGTCTTCCACATGTAAAATAATGAATGAATCTACATCTAGACTTCCCCTCTGAAAATTTACATGTTGGTATGTTTGTTCCCTGACTCTGAAAACAGAAGTTGTTTTCTTTATCTTTCATAATTAAATAAATGCAGAAGCTTTGTATATTTTTGTTTTCTATCACCATTACAAATGTCCTTTGGTAAGAGACTGTATTTCAGTTCAAGTAGGTTCATGAGTATATGTTAGTAGTTAAAAGCGCATTACATTCTGGGGTTAAATAATGTGTATTGTCTGCCATTGAGACATGGATCTTTTCCAAAGCACAGACCTTGCACAGATGGTTTTATTTGTCTTTCCTATCCATTTTGTGGGACAATAGCCACAACTATCCTTAAGAATGGAATTCTGGCATTGATAAATGCTTTACATTTCAAACTTCAATCACTGGAACATTCCCAAAGCGTTGTAAAGCAAAATCCCAAGTCTACTTCTCAAAATAAGTTACAACAGAAACTCCTGGGCAGTATGTTTCCATTGGTTTCAAATTGATCCTTCTTTTGCAGTAAAAAGAATGTAGAATTGCAATATGAGATTGCTTTAATGGGTTGAGCACAGTGATATTTGTTGCTCTGGATATTGTTGGAAGATATTCTGAATGATAATATCTTAGGTTAATGAACTTGAATTTGACTGGAAATGCATTACAGCAGTGGTTCTCAACCTGTGGATCCCCAGATGTTTTGACCTTCAATTCCCTGAAATCCTAACAGCTGGTAAACTGGCTGAGATTTCTGGGAGTTGTAGGTCAAAACACCTGGGGACCCACAGGATGAGAACCACTGCATTATAGGAACAAGACTGATTTCTTCAATGCATTGACTAGTCAAATAGAACAGTCAAGACAATGAACTACAAATAACACATTCTTTCTGGAGTATTGTCTAAACCCTTTCAAATGTGTCATATATAAACAGAATAATTGGAGATAGTACTTTTTAGTTACTTCATAATCCCTTTCAGATCTTTCTGCCAATATTATTTCTGGACAAACAAGTTCATTGTCTGAACTTTCTCGTTTCTAACATTGGGCTAGAATCCTAGTATTCTGTCTTTTACTCTTAGACAAAGTCTTATTCCTGGCTTTATGTCATGAAATTAGATTTCCTTTCCTTGGTACAAGCAAGGGAAAATGCTTCCTGCAGCTGTAGGAAAGAAAGCCAACAAGAGTTTTGGGTGCCAATTACTTGTGGAGCCATTGGAGTAGCTATCCACACAAATAAGCTATTCTTGAAGCACCAAGGTTTTACTTTTTTGAGGTGCTGCCACTTCCACAGGCACCTGACTGGATAAGCTGATGGGAAACATGTGTTTTAAAATGTCAGTTTTGGAATTGTCATCAGGGAAAATACTACTTTCTGTAGGAGTTCTTGGAAAGTTGATTTGATACATAGAGAAATGCAGTGGAAATAGAAATTAATGATTGCAGTCCGGTCTCTATATGAAAAACAAATCCTATGATGGCAAAAGCAGATCATTGTGCAAAAATAAGATCATTGTGTATGTCTGTACATGATTCTGTCTTAGTGCTGCTTATGGTATGTTGTCACACATTTGCAACTAGAAGAAATGGTTGTTCGTGCTTAAAAAAGCTTATGTTTTGCTCCCTTTAATGTAAACAAAAATCTAATGTCACCTCTACAACCCACACAATCTACTACTATATAGTTACACTCCTGTGGGTATCTCAGTGGCATGACAGATGGCTTGAGAATAAAGAGTCAAAACCTTGTGACGCTCTATTTGTATAAATATTCTTACACAGCTCCATTGGAATGCTCAATTCCTTTGAACTGAAGGATTTAACTCAGTCCCTAAGTTATTTACCCCCCCCCCCCTCAAATTTATAAGTTCCCAAGGGGTATCCATTATGCACTTCATTCCATTCCCTGTTCTCTAGTTTTCCCATTGTAATATAAAGAAAGACTGTAATATCATCTTTCTCATTCTAAAATTGTTTCTTATTCTTCCATGCTTCCAGCACTATTCTGCTTTCTCCTTTGGCCTCACAATTCAAAAATGTTCCTTTAGCATAGCTACACTACCCGTTTTGTAAAACCTCTATTTTTCAGAATCCTTCCATAGATACTTGAGCATTGTGTTAATTCTTTTCTGCATAAAACTCTTCAAAAATCCATGGGTTTTGTTAGGAGAGCATGGGAGCAATGAATTGCACTATTCACCTGCTCCTATATGACAGTGGTTCTCAACCTGTGTGTCCCCAGATGTTTTGGCTTTCAACTCCCAGAAATCATAACAGCTGGTAAACTGGCAGAGATTTCTGGGAGTTGTAGGCCAAAACACCTGGGGACCCACAGGTTAAGAACCACTGCTGTAGGAGATTGCTGCTGCTGCCTTGTCTCTCTTCCCACCCCCTTTCTTTCATCTTTCTGTCTCTCCTGTGCTTCCCTTTCTTTGCACTCTACTGTTGCATGTCACATCCTCGTCCCCCACACTGTGGACCACCCCTCCCTCCTCTCTCTCATATCTTGTCCCCATCATGCTCACTTCCGTGCACTCTGCCACTTCAGTGTTCATAATTTCCTCATTTGCCTCCTATCCTTGCCTTACTATGGCTTCCCTTTTACTTCCTCACCTCATCTCACACCCTTGGAGTATGCCCCTCCTTTGTTTCATGTGCTGCATTGTTCACATTACTCTCTTGTATCTTTTCTACTTTTTCCGCATGCCTCACCTCATGCCTGCTTACCATGCCCCTTGCTTGCTCCTTGTGCACAACTGCTTGCACCACTGATTTCCCTGTCATTCTTATTCCTTTCTTTGACTTCTATCATACTCTAAAAAAGAGTCCTTTGTGTCATGCCCTGCTCTCAGGATTCAGTCAGTGAAGGGGATAAGCAGGTGGAAGTGCCAGCTGTTGAGACAGAGAGGTGCAGCTTCCAGAAGTTCAAAACTTGGAGCTGGAAATACCAGCATTTGAACTTGATAATAGCAGCTCCCAGCAGCCACCTGACTTGAACCTAGAAGAACCAATGGCTGAATGTGATAGTTTATTGTTTTAGATTGCTCAGATGGACTTCTTGCTTATCATGCTCATGTGGATGTTGGACTGCCTGGCTTCCTTAAATCTCTCTCTTAGTTTGCTCTGTTTGTAACTTTTGAGTTAGACTTTCAGGGAAAAGAAAGGGGAAAAGGATTATTGATTCTATTTTCTGGATACCTTTAGGAATAACCTTGAACTGCTTGCTTCTTCTGCATAATTGCTCATACTGATCTCTCTCCTGCCCATTTCTTTCCTTTCCTGCCTTCACCTCATGTCCTTCTGGTGTGTCCTTCCAGACTTCCTGTACTCTGCCACTCTTATTGCTTGCTTTCTACTGAATCTTCTAGGTGGACTTAATTTTTGCTGTACCATTTGATAGAAGCATGTCTCCACATTTGTGCCATATCCCAGCTTCCACAAATGGTGGATTAAAAAAAATGAAAGATGGAATCTGGGTCAAATGATGTTTCAGACAGGCCCAGGATGACAAGACTAGAATCCAGGTGATGTAGCAACCCTAAAATTAAGTTCATTAGCATCTGGGGGCTAAACTTTGGGATGTGATGCATGGAGAAAGTGCAACTCGGGGGCCACAGGTTCTCCAAGGCCACTTCTGAGGAGATCCCCCCACCCCGAGGCCTCCTCTTCTTTTTAAATTCTCCTACTTTCCCCTAGGGACTGTGTGTGTCAATGTTACAACGTTGGACTTGAACAAATTTTTAAAACAACAATAATACATTTTATTTATAATTCCACTTTATCTCCTTGAGGGGACTCAAAGTAGTTTACAGTATATACATATATAGGCAAACATTCAATGCCTTTTATACAATGAACAATAACATACAATACGCAAACAAAGGCAAAGATTTCCCTTTCCATCTCCAGCATCTGGAAGTGATGCTCAACTCTGGCCATGTGGAAGTGCTCTTGTTCCATTTTCTATGCTGAGAAGCTTGTTGTCCGTAGACCCTACTGGTCATGTTTGCCGGCATGGCTGCATGGGCACCTTTTTACCTTCCTGTCAAGGTGGTACCTATTGATC